TATTTTTCTGATCTTACAAAAAGAAAAAAAAAGAGAGATTATTATTCCTGTACTTAATTTCCTGAATGATAAGTAACATTTCAATCCTGTATATGCAAATTGATCATATGACTGTAATTGTAACTGATTGATGATGGTGAAGCCCTCTTGATGCTTTCTGTTCTGGCCTTTTCTACACTCTATCATACTTACAGGCTAATTCTTCTGTCCTTTATAAGGCTAGAACAGAATCAGGAGACTTTAGATAACACCATTTCATCTCGTAAATGATGGCATTTTTTGGAAAACTTTAATCCTATCATCAAAAAAAATTAGTAAATAAAACGAAAGAAAAAAAAATCAGTTATGTTTTGTTTTTAAAAAGAAATCTGAATTTCTTCATCTACCAGATCTGTTTCTATGGTAAAACTGTAGCAAGCAAAAGTTTTGTATTGAAAGTACAGACACTAACACATTATTTGCAATCTGATGCAAGGGGAATAACTCTAGTAAACTTAAACCATTTTCACTATCACATACAGACATAATTGAAACCAGATGGAGCTACTGTTAATTATTTTGTACAGTAGCTGTTGTAGCAAGCAGCTCCAATTTTCTGATTCTATCTATTATCATAATATAACCTTAAAGCAATCATAAGAATTAGCAGAATGGGTGAAAAAAAAAAATTGAAAAAAAAATTTCGCTCTTCAGCTTATCAATTTCCATCAGCACAAAAATAAAAACAGACCAAAAAAAAAACAAAAAAACAAAATGCAATAACAGTTGTAAAGAAAACTTACAGGGTTGATATTCTGAATGAAATAAAATAAAATTTTCTCAGTCGTAGCACGATATTAAGACAAAACTAACTTCAAAAGATAAAAATAAAGAATTGTGTGTTGTGTGACTGTTCTTTCTGTCGTAACAGAGAATGATAGAAATGATATGACATGTAAAGTCCTCCTCCATCCCTAAAGGAAGGTGATGATTTCTTCCCCCCAAAGCTATCATTACATACAACCAGAAGACAAACATATCAGTTGTCGGTGAATGCTGTCAGACCTTACATTCTATATTGTACAAGACTTTCAAGTGAGTAAGGGTGTATCTGCGGTATGCTGGCACTCCCCCAACATTCTTTTATACATGTGTACCTCACCAACATTCCCCTTCTCTCTCCTCAACCTCCCTAAGTACCAAAAATTACAAAAAAAATAATTCATTTTGGTAAATAGCTAAGAAACCAATATTGGGTCATAATTTTTCTCTAACTATATGATGACATAAGAATTTAAATTGTCCTTAATGCTAAAACTAAAAGGTATTTTTACGCCTGCAAGAGATGAGATAACAAATTGTAATATGGATTATCTCCCTTGTATTATGTGTTTGAGAGCTTAGGACATGGTATTTCTTTCACAACTGTCATGTGGTTTTCTTTGTTTTTTCCCTTCAAATATTCTGAGGTAATTAAAGTTTGATACGTCTTATCAAGAATTATAGATACCAGCACTACTACTATTATCATGATAACATGTAGGGCCTCATTAAACAAAACATGATGTACTTTATTTCTGATCTGAAGACTTCACTAATTAACATACTTGAACGAGTTTGTTAAACAACTGTCCATACCAAACAAAGGCTTTAAAATCAACACAGATACATCTACTTTCAGTACCAACAATGTACTTTATTTCTGATCTGAAGACTTCACTAATTAACATACTTGAACGAGTTTGTTAAACAACTGTCCATACCAAACAAAGGCTTTAAAATCAACACAGATACATCTACTTTCAGTACCAACAATGTACTTTATTTCTGATCTGAAGACTTCACTAATTAACATACTTGAACGAGTTTGTTAAACAACTGTCCATACCAAACAAAGGCTTTATAATCAACACAGATACATCTACTTTCAGTACCAACTTTTCCATCTATAATAACAATTTGACTTGTTTGTGTAGAGAGTATTAACAAAAGATTTTGTGGGGAGTAATTCGACGACATGAAACTGGATAACAGAAAATTCAAATCTGAAACAAAAATTATATATAATCAAATCACTTGTTGGATTTATGGAAGGCAACACTATTATATACTTATATATAACAGATCACCTTAGTGAGTAAATGTTTTATGTGTTAGAAACTTTTAGAGCCAGGTCTGCTCATTTGGTGAAATTTGGTATACAATATTCTGGAATATACATGTTTGATCACTAAAAGGCCTATGTTTAAATAGTTAAGAGACCTACAAGGTTTCTAGGGGTATAGCTAGAATATGAAGGTATACACACTGGTATCTGGATAATAAACAGCTTTGATAACATAGAATTGTCTCAGTAGGACTGTTTACAGCAGACAAGATTAAGCTATTTGTTTTATATAAATAGCTTATCAAAATGGCAATTCAGTCTGTACATAAAAAGGTAAACACAAAACATTATAACATTATCTTACATTTTAACAAAGCTAAATCTTCTAGTGTTTAGTTAATGACAAATTTGAATTATAGTAAATGTTCTTCTGTATCAAAGAAATTGGTCCTCATCCAAACCTCTCCTAAAATGCTAACACATATTCTTTGTGGTTGCCAAGTTTCAACATGGAGTCTCAGAAGTAAGCAATTTTATAATTAAGTTAAAGATTACAAAATAGCACTATCTAGCAGTTTTAATATGGAAATATGGGTTTATGTTATTTAATCAATAAATGATTAATTCCCCCCTCCTCAATCTTCTCTCAACAACAACTGAGAAAAAAAGTACCAGCTGAAAATTCACTTAACAATAACAATCTTGAAAAGATGAAAACCTAAAAATAATTATTCACATCTTAACCTAAAAAACAAATGTTAAGTACAATATATTATCATCTTTATCAGCAAAAAGGCATTAATTGATAATGTTAGCAACAGGGATTGAGTGAATTGCAGATATCTACCCCAGCACTGAACAGAAAGCAAATTACTTGTAGTTAAGTATACTGTAAATATATCTACAATCTAATCTTGGACAAAGGCTGATCCTATAGTGGTCCCCCACGAGATTTCTCCCAATCTTGTCCAACGCACACTGCAAATGGAAAATGGTATTAGACATTCAGAGACACTTATTGATGATGAATGTTTTACAAGAATACTTAGCTCCATTTCTGTGTAAAACTCAGCTAAGAAATCACCATTGAATCTATACAGCTTTGCAATCTGAATATGACTGAGCAGTACACGGCTAGCCACTTTAAGAAGAATGTGGTCTGGAAGTGTGCGATATTGTTTTGTTAATAGTTGACAAGCTGTAAATAACATCAACTAGATGTGTTTACCAAAACACAAGAAATACATAAATACAAAAAAACCTTCTTTGTAAACGACGACAACAACCATAACAAAGCCAGAACAAATTTTAATATATATATATATATATTATATTGCACAAAAAGGTCTTGTAATAGTAATCTTTTCATCAAAATCAATTAATTAGTTATCAAAAGCATTTGCCATGCCTTTTAAACTTCTATATTCTGTGAAGAAATATCAATGTTTGTGAATATAAAAGGATCAGTTCAGTCAATAGAAGACTTTATGGTGTATTGAAAAACATCAATATTGATAATATGAATTAATTGATTTTCTTTCTCTTTTTTTCAAGTATTTGTTTTCGTTGAAAGAAGAAACAGATGGGATTTATGTTTATAGATTTAAAAGAAATTATACTACATTTTTAAATGCCTAGGTTCCAGTTCAAGGTCATGCACTCAATATCATAAAATAGTGCTTCAGGGTGCATGTATGTGCAAGTTTAAGCATCCTGAAGTTATACACATTGTGGATGCAGGCTCAGTGCTTGACACCACAAACATATGTCACATCATTTGTGCTGATTCTATGAAATTCACACTATACAATCTATATATAGGTATATAAGTTCTTTGTATCAAAGTGAAGTACTAATAAATCACATGATTTTCACTATGAAAAATCTGTGGCATTTCTAAAACATCAATTCATGAAAAGAAATATGTTTCGTAATGAAAAACGGCAATGAGGCACATTCAAACTATAATGTTTTATATGTAAGAACAAAAATTTCAAAAATAATGAAAATATAAACTTTATCTAGTATATAGCTAGAATTTCATCCTTGCTCTCACAGACGAAAATGTGAAGGGATCACAATTGGATTAGGGGTCTAAATTTGGGAGGAAAATATAGTAACCTGGAAAAAAACATGGTCCACCACAAAATATCTCCATATCTTTACATGTTTGATCAAAGCCATCCTACTCATTCTTTGATGCAATGAAAAATTAAAAATATATTACACATGCAATCCTAACCATTAAGAAAGCCTGTAGTTGATACACTGAAAAGTCAAGCAATATTAGTAGTTTGGTATAAAGAACAAGAACAAAGGTATAATTGTTGCTGATGGAAAACTCTGATGTCCAACATCATTAGCTTCTTCTGCAAGACAAGCTGTAGAAAATAAATCAAATCTGTCAGTAGAATTACACAGTAATATTAAACACAATTTACTTATGAAGCTTTCAATCAAATGACTTCCATTTCTGTGGAAGAAAGTACAGTGAGAAAAAATGTCCAGGATGTTTCTTATAACACATCAACCATGCAATGACAACTCCTTCCTGGTGTTCAGTTAAAACTGCCAATTAGAGCTCATACCTACATCAATCTAACAAAAATGAATATGACATTATCGTTTAACAGAAATCTACGAATGTCTAACTCATTTCTGATGAACCAAAAATCTTACAATCACATGGGAATTTTGATTTCTGTGTGCAATAAATAACACAACTTCTCAAATAAATTTCATTTATCTACCACAAAAAGTAACATTTTATTCAATTCAGCCATAAAATTTTGTGAAATGTCAGAAAACTGATCTTTGCTTTCCATTTTACAGAACCACATCCAAAAGAAAACAAGAATATAGTATTGATTTTTATTGATACACAGAAAGAAATTCAGAACTATCATCAAACAACTTACATTTCACTTTGCATGGAGGAGTGTCGCGACACAGACTTGGGGGATATGTCAAAATCACTGTCGGAGCGATATAGAAAGGATTCTCGACGCTGAGGAAGGTTCTGCAGTACCAAACGGTTCCCTGAGGGGCTGGACCCCTCAAGGCCATGGCCAGCTGGTCCTGTGCCATTCTCGACATCAAAACTGAAAAATAGAATTCAGAAGGTCAATAGTTGTAAAACTTAAAATTTTGATGTAAGTTTTTAAAATCCTTTAAGTGAAGAATGATCAGAAAAATTGTTTACTTTGAGTAATGAGATATACCAAATCCTCTGTCACCTGTTTATATAGAATATGGGGTATGATGAACAAAATATATCAAAATAATGTTGTGGAAGAAAAAGGGACCAAAATTTCATTTAAAATTTTATTGACAAAAGAAGTAAATTTGTGAGTTAGATATAAACTGAAACCATTGTTCAAATGCATATTTACAACATCCTGTAAATATAGTAATTTGTTCAGGTATTGAAAGAGTCTTTAGATTTTTACATTAGGTAGATTTATCTTGGTAATCTTTGCTAAACTCTTATTCTAACCTCAACTTAATGAAAATCTATACTCTTTCGGACTGTTTTTTGCACAACTTTTCTAAACAAAAAGATCCTGATAAATTACATAAAATTTTCTTGACAGCATAATGATATAAAATCATGGATGTGGGTGTGTAGGGAATAGCCACTGACAACTTGTTTGTAATATCCCTTGAGATTGTATCTTCTTTCCCGATCAGCGATATTAAACTAGATACAATCCATACCAGACAATTTCTTATCAAGGTCTTCTGATGTATGATCCCTCCATTTACTTAATGTCAGGATTTTGACTGGCTGGTTACACTAATACACAACCATCAAAACTTCCATTTTTCATTCAATCATATCCTCCTTACAGAAAGTATCTGAAAGATTTTTTGATTTTCGCCACTGCAGGAAAAAGTAGAGGTATGTATCTCACTTTGTAAAAAGGCGCAAAGAAATATTTTGAGACAATAAGGGACTTTATTTCTGCAAATTCCACTTGCAGGTTTTTAGGTATAAATGTTGATTTCATGCCATACCAAACTTTAATATCTGTCATGTGTTTGCCTTATTTATAGCTATTTTTCAAACTTACTCAAAAGTACATCTAAATTCTTAAATATAATTTGGTGTATATAGATATCACAGTTATGAAATTACTTGAAATAAAACTTTCATCAAAGTAATTGATGCTTTTAAAGATTTGCACCATCAATTTGTTACACAACTTTGACAATGCCATTGGCAACATTTTCCATCGTCGCGACGTTTAAATTTCTATGTACCAAAAATGTTTGAATTTCTTTCTTTCAATCAAAGTTGCTATAATGATCTCAATGAGAAATTTTACTGGATGCTGAGTGTTAGTATGCTTGGTGGTTCTGTTGTTGTAAACACTGTTCTCACTTGGAAATATAATATGACTTACTTGGACTGATCAAGATTTAAATGGTTGGTGCCATTAATAAAGCAGAAGATGTTAACTCTTTCAGAACACCTGGTCTTTTTTCCTTGTATTCTTTTTTTCATATTTTTTTTTAGTTTCATTAAATTTTGTTGAAATGTTGCTCTTTCTTGTCTCATGCACTGATATCTGGTAAACTGAACTTTACCTCTGATTCCTTCATGGTCCAGAATAGATTGTTATATACATTGAATATATTCTTTACTACACATGGGAATGGAATTAGTCTGCATGAACAAAATCTAGTGCTAGTAATTATGTATAACGGTCCAGTATAATGGTATATCTGACCACAATAGGCAAGCCAGACCAATGTAATTGGTGCTTTCCAGGCCTTCCACAGCTCCTTTTTTATTAAACTAGTTATGTTGACAGCCCCTATATCAAAGGTCTACATATCTGTACTTGGAAAATCTAGCCGCAGTCTTTCCATTTGCAAAAAAATCCATTTAATACTTTTGAGAATAACCAGCTTGCTGATGGAAAAAAAGAAAAAAAGAATTCTATTGCTTCCTTTGGGAGCTGTTTCAACAAAAATTAAATTCCAGGAAAACTTGTCAGGAAACACAAAATCTGTTTAAGGTATCAGCCAGATGACTATTTTTTCTTTTCAATCAACCCCATTTTGGTTGTAAGTCCCCGAGCTTCATTCAATATAAATGTTCCTGTTGCAAGTCCCTTACCAACAAAGATGAATGCTACCTTTGTGAGGCCCGTTACCAACAATGACAAATGCTACCTTTGTGAGGCCCCTTACCAACAATAATGATTGCTACCTTTGTGAGGCCCTTTACCAACAATAATGAATGCTTCCTTTATGAGGCCCCTTACCAACAATAATGAATGCTTCCTTTGTGAGGCCCCTTACCAACAATGACAAATGTTACCTTTGTGAGGTCCCTTACCAACTATAATGAATGCTTCCTTTATGAGGCCCCTTACCAACAATAATGAATGCTTCCTTTGTGAGGCCCATTACCAACAATGACAAATGGTACCTTTGAGAGGCCTTTACCCACCATGACAAATGCTGCCTTTAGGAGGTTCCTTACCAATGACAAATGCTACCTTTGTGAGGCCCCTTACCAACAATGACAAATGCTACCTTTGTGAGGCCCCTTACCAACAATAATGAATGCTACCTTCGTGAGGTCCCTTTACCAACAATAATGAATGCTACCTTCGTGAGGTCCCTTACCAACAATAATGAATGCTACCTTTGTGAGGCCCCTTACCAACAATGACAAATGCTACCTTTGTGAGGCCCCTTACCAACAATGACAATTGCTACCTTTGTGAGGCCCCTTACCAACAATAATGAATGCTACCTTTGTGAGGCCCTTTACCAACAATAATGAATGCTTCCTTTATGAGGCCCCTTACCAACAATAATGAATGCTTCCTTTGTGAGGCCCCTTACCAACAATGACAAATGTTACCTTTGTGAGGTCCCTTACCAACAATAATGAATGCTTCCTTTATGAGGCCCCTTACCAACAATAATGAATGCTTCCTTTGTGAGGCCCATTACCAACAATGACAAATGTTACCTTTGAGAGGCCTTTACCAACCATGACAAAAGCTGCCTTTAGGAGGCTCCTTACCAACCAAGATGAATACAACCTTTGTGAGGCTCCTTACTAACAATGTCGAATGTTACTTTTGGGATTCAGACCTCTTTCAGAAACATTGAATTTTATATGAGGAGTCCTACATCTATTACACAGGTATCAATTGTAATAAGCCTATGTCTGGTAATAAGCTTGTCCACATCTATTGCTATTCAGTAGAATTACAAACAAATACGATTTCATTGTCTAGTAATAAGCCCACCCCCTGACTTTGAATCAAAAGTAATGAAAATTCTCCTTAGGGCTTATTACAGGATAAATACAGAAAATCCTTATAAGTACATACATATATATTAAAGTGGATTCTTCATCTTTCACAAGCAATGAATTCTCCCTTAGCAGATCCACTGGTATTGTCTTTATATAGCAATGTTGTAGTATCCTATTGTACTAGTGTACGGAGGGAAATTGTCGATTGGCTCTTGGTTCATGTTCATAATGTATTAACAGAATGACAGTATTTTGAATCTGTTGGTGTATCAAACAACATGTTACACAGGATCAAGTCATATAAACAGATATATTCAACAAACCATTCATACATCTATATACATTCTTTTATTTCAGTTCTAAATGAAACTGAAAGCTGAAAATGTAGAAAACCTTAACCTAATGAGTATTGGTTCTATTTGTGTTTGTAATTTTTCTTTGACACTGCAGATATTACCCAGCTTTTACCAGAGGAAAACCCATTACAAGACAAACACCATTAGGTGTCTTCTAGCTCTCAAAACAATATAGACTCTACTATGTTAAGCTTTAATGATATTTTGTTGAAATTCCAATCTGAAAACTTTTCATAATTATCAAAAACCCAAAAAATTTCATGAGTCCTGGCAATCAAAATTATCTCAAAAAGTTTAAATGCATGAATATATCTACATTTGTATGCATATTTTTCAAAAGAAACCTTGAATTTGAATATATGTGACTTTATTTTGTGCCAGCAAGCTAACGGATCATGATACCACAGAACCCAGACATCAATTTCCTGAGGCATATCAATCAACTGTTTTCGTTATGATGTTGTTGTGATTAGTACGAGACAGTCTTGGCAATCAGTAGGTTTAAAAATCTAACTGAAAATTTTGGCGACAAAGTCAATTGTTAGAACAAAGCATAACAGCCATAAAAATATTATCTTGCCTTTTCTGAGTGCTTGTCAAACATTCTCCTGCACTAGCTAGATAATGTGTCTTTTATAAAAATGATGTCCAAGGATTCCTACCATCCAAATAAATGTTCCCAACATTTTAAAATTATTATTGGAAGATTTAGTAAAAGAATGAGACATCCTCATCCAGATTCAAAATCATATTTAAAGAGCAAAACCAAAACTATTGTAAAGACATAAATGCCCCTTCTCATATGCAAACAAGTATCTGATCAAGTGTTGAACTTGATGTTATGATACATGTACTATTTGGTAAAAATGAACCATGAACCAAATCTGTTAAGAAATCCCCCCTCCCCCCCCCCCCTCTCATTAAAATGGCAGAGACATGATAATTCCTGAACTAGATCAAAATGATTCACTTAATGAGAAAACAATTTTGCTGCACCTGATAAAAATATCCTTTAAAAATTCAATATTCTGAAATCATTATGTTAAATGAGAATTTACAGACCAAAACACAACTTCAAATCAGAGGGTGATGCAGCGATGGATGATGGTGAGAAAGACAGATAGTACGGTGGCAGGAGTTATGAAAATTCTCAACAATTCCTGAAAGAATTAAGCTTAAACAAGATAAAAATAACAAATTTAAATGAAAGTCCTGTGAATTAAGCCAAACTTTAACCAGAATTTATCTTGCAGAGTTATAGTCCATTACATGATCAGATCATCCTCCAAACATAAATCAGTAATATTCTTGGTGGAAAGGTGATAACTCAAATCCGATAATTACAGCACTTTCCTAATAAAAGGTATTCCATAATCGATCCAGCCGTTTAATGCCTCATAATGAGACAAAATCGCCAGTTCCTTAATAAATCTGTGATAATTATTTTGGAGATTTGAGCCAG